AAAAGGCTTCAGTACCATAGACCACATACATACCCTGCGGCAGATTGTACAGAAGACTGAAGAGTACAATTTGCCACTTTGCCTGGCGTATGTGGACTATGAGAAAGCCTTTGATTCCGTCGAAATTTGGGCGGTGCTGCAGTCCCTTCAGCGGTGCCAAGTTGACTGTCGGTATATCGAAGTGCTGAAGTGTTTGTACAGTAGGGCTACGATGGCTATCCGAGTACAGAACCAGAGCTCGAAACCTATCCAACTGCAGAGAGGTGTAAGACAGGGTGACGTTATATCCCCGAAACTCTTCACCGCTGCTTTGGAAGACGTTTTCAAGCTACTGGACTGGAAAGGATACGGTATTAACATCAATGGCGAGTACATCACTCACCTTCGATTTGCCGACGATATAGTCCTTATGGCAGAATCGCTGGAGGACTTAAGCACTATGCTCAATGACCTCAATAGTGCCTCCCAACGGATAGGTCTTAAGATGAACATGGACAAAACAAAGATTATGTTTAATGTCCATGTCACACCTATGCCGGTAGTTGTTGGGAGCACTATGCTCGAAGTTGTTGACGAGTACGTTTACCTGGGACAAATATTCCGACTAGGTAAGTCCAACTTCGACCGAGAGGTCAATCGACGGATTCAACTCGGCTGGGCAGCGTTCGGGAAATTACGACATATCTTCTCGTCAGGTATACCTCAATCTCTGAAAACTAAAGTGTACAACCAGTGCGTGTTGCCAGTGATGACTTACGGATCAGAGACGTGGTCCTTCACTGCTGGCCGTATGAGGACGCTCAAGGTCGCTCAGCGAGCTATGGAGAGGGCTATGCTCGGAGTTTCTCTGCGTGATAGACTCAGAAATGAGGATATCCGCAGTAAAACCAGAGTGACCGACATAGCCCAACGGATTAGTAAGCTGAAGTGGCAATGGGCCGGCCATATAGCTCGAAGAACCGATAACCGATGGGGAAGAAAGGTTCTCGAGTGGCAGCCTCGTACCGGTAGGCGTAGTGTAGGGCGACCCCCCCACTAGATGGAGTGACGACCTGGTAAGATATGCAGGAAGTCGATGGATGCAGGTGGCTCAGGACCGTGCTTTGTGGCATTACTTGGGGGAGGCCTATGTTCAGCAGTGGACTTGTGAAGGGCTGTGATGATGATGATGATGATGATTGCAACTTTCCGCTAAACATATAAAATGATGTGTCTTACCTGGAATGAAGCGCACCTCCCGCCCTCCCTCAATTGCATACACTAACTCCGTCACCACTAGACCAAGCACCACAACAACAATAGCAAGAAAAGAGTCGTTACATGTTTTTCAAATTTATCGAAAGCCAACTCATACCGACACGGTCATCCCCGCATCATCGTGTCATCCATGGCAACATAAATTAGCCGCTTTTTTATTGTTACATTAACCGTCTGTCCACTGTTCCATTAAATAAAGAAAATTATTTAAAAGAACTTAATATAATTTATCAAATTGCGGTCTCTAACGGTTTTTCAAAAAGTCTCGTTGATAATCTTATTAAAAAGAAACAAAAGCATGTTGTTCGCAATTCTTTGTACGCGGTTCGATCTCAAAGTGTCCGGCGGTATGTGGGTAGTTTGACCTACTTAGGCCCCATATCGGAAAAAAATAGCTAATAGTCTTAAGAAAAACGGCGTTAACGTGGCATTCAAAACAAACAATTTGCTTAGGAATATTTGTAATAATAAAGATAAGTTAAATATTAGTCAAAAATCGGGTGTTTATAAACTTGTTTGTGACGAATGCCACGCCGTTTACGTGGGTCAGACTGGTCGCAATTTCGGGACGCGCTATAAAGAACATATGGCCGCGTACAGAAATTGCAATCCTGATAAATCCCATTTTGCTAAACATCTCTTGGACACTGGACATAACCTAGCTAGCGACCATTCCTTTGAAGTCTTACATACCTGTAATAAGGGGCTGCGACTGTGTGTGCTGGAGCAGTTGGAGATTTTAAAAAGTAATAATGGTAATTATACACAGCTGAATGAACAAACAAATGTTTCTAATTCACCTCTGTTAAACATCTTTAAGGCCAATCTTTAATAATAATTTTAAGATTAATAATAATAAATAATTATAATAATATCAATAAAACAATAATAATAATAGTATTTAAAATATTAATCATAACAATAATAATAATTAGTAGCAGATTTGTTATCGCACGGCGCGGTCACTCAAAACAATAATAATAATAGTATTTAAAAATAATCATAACAATAACTGTTGGCAGATTTGTTATCGCACGACGCGGTCACTCGCTACTTTGGTAGGGAGCGATTGTGTCAGCGTGTATAAATAGCAACTGTTTCGACTCGCCGCTCGATTACGTATGCTAGGGACCCCTGTCCCCTGGCATATGTCCGCCAAATATTTAGGTGTCACTCTAGACACAGGGCTCACTTTCAAGCCCCACGTCAAAAGAGTAACCCGTCACGCACGGTTTTATCTGAGTAGGCTCAACAGTATGTTGGGCCGACACAGTAAAATGTCCCTTCGAAACAAGCGTACCCTCTACAAGGTATGTATACGACCAGTCATGTCCTACGCGGGCCCCGTCTTTGCCCACGCAAACCCTAACATTTTAAATGAACTCCAAATAGTTCAGAACCTCTTCTGTCGTCGAGCTGCGAACGCACCGTGGTACGTCCGCAATGCCGACCTTCATCGGGACTTAGAGCTCCCAACAATTCAACAATTTCTTAAAAAACTCTCTGAGAACTTCTTCAAAGCCTCAGAGTCGCACCCAAACCATTTAATTCGTGAGGCAGCTTCTTATGCAGCCCCACCCCCCTCTCGCTATCGTGTCCGCAGGCCGAGAAACTCTCTCTCGGACCCGCCTAATAAACTTTCAAACGACCTGAACTGTCTCCTGGCGGCTCAGGCCAACTCTAATTAAATAAAATTATTGTAATATCTAAGATTAATTTGCCTTCGTAGGCACTCCCTCAGCGGCACTTAGCCGCCTGCGCCCTCTTTTCCCAAAAGAGGGTCGCTCATGATAAGGCACAATAGAGCTTAATCAGCCGGTTGCCTGTCCCCAAAGGCGGTTTTTTAGAGGGTATCACTTAGGGTCCCCGGTAGGACAGTGAGCCCCTCATAACCACGATAGACCGGCTATCGTGGTATGCGTAATGCATTTTCCGCCTCCCTACGTATAGGGTAGCCCTTTAATTGCTTCGGGCGCAAAAAAAAAAAACTCGCCGCTCACTTAGCGGTCAGCCGCCGTAGAGTCTATATTACCTGATGATGCCTCATGTAGAGGCGAAACACGTGTCGTATTATCGTCGATGGTGTGTCTTGCCTGGAATAGTGGTGTTGAGAGTAGTGGTGCTTGGTCTAGTGGTGACGGAGTTAGTGTATGCAATTGAGGGAGGGCGGGAGGTGCGCTTCATTCCAGGTAAGACACATCATTTTATATGTTTAGCGGAAAGTTGCAAAGAAATTTATATTTTTATTTTTATTATAATGGATTTCCGCAAAGTAACGCCTGATTCTATATTATTTCTGGTTCAATTAGTGGGATATCTAATACAAAAACTAAGTTATTCCTGTTGACATACGATTTAACTACTCTATTTCTTTCTAACTTAATTAAATTTTCCTTATTTGCTGGGTAAATTGCAATTTGGCATATTTTTTATATTTATTAACATATTTAATAGTTCTGTTGAATTTATGATTGATTGATGTAAAGTCTGTAATTTAATATAGCTTCACCATTTAATAAGTTGACTGGTAATTTAACTCTTAATTCGCAGTGAGGAGGCAGATTATATGTCTCTCTCATTGGCGGTGAGTAAATAATTGGGATATTAGTATTATTTTTATATAACCCTTTAACTGGTAAGAGGGAATGAGCCTAGATAATGAAATAAAACTTCACTATGTGGAATCATATATTTTTTTAAACATTTTATTTTAATTATTATTTATTAATTACATATCAAAAAACATGATGGCAACATATAAACCACCATCAGTCTAGCCTTACCAATTTATGTATCTGTTTGATGGTAATTTTTGAAGCAAGGCACTGCACACAATGGCACTTGACACCTATCACATTGTATCCTGGATCGTTGATTATTGTGTGCACTACTACACAAGCGACACCTTTTATAGGTGGGTAATTTTACAGGCCAATGAGCTCCCAGCTCAGAAAAACGAATTTCTCGCGGCACGCCAAATAGTTTATTTTGCCTTGATTCACTTTCTTCGGATTGTACAGACTTACTTTTTTTGGACGCGAACTTTGGCATGGTGGCAAAGGGTCTTTTTCGGAATGTTGCGTTTGCTACTAATTCTCGAGACAATGTCAGCCTAAATTCCTTTTGAGACAATACCGTGTGGTTACGTCTGTTAGAAGCATACAATATATACGCGTTTGTTATTGCAGCATCAATAAGGAAATAGAAGATGCGTTTCCACCACTTCGAGATTTTTCTTCCGACTGCGTACGGGATTCTCTTTTGATCAAACCGGTCCACTCCTCCCATACGCTTTGTGTATTCTATAATTGTCAGCGGACAAAGGAATGATTTTTTAGATCCATCATTTTGAGTTCTTTCACAAGATTTTTTCTGCTTTGGATGAAATGCAGTGCTCAAAACGCTTACTAATTTGTTATGTTTCCAGATAATAAACCCAACATTATTTTTTACCCTCCATTTCCATTCTCATCTTTTCAGCTTTTTTGTTTTTTGGTTTGCATTTTTTACAGCCTTTGCTATCTTTTAATCAATTTCTTTATTACCAGTCGCTTTAGGCTTTTTTACAATTAGTGGCTTATCTTGGCGGTCATTTCTGACTGTAGCAGTTGCATATATACTACCATTATTGTATAACGTTTGTAGTAAAGCTGGACTAGAAAAAAGTTATGAAATGCTATATGACCCATATAGGTTTCATTTATGAGTGACTGGCATATTGTCATGACAACATTACTGCCTAATCATGTTTCGACGTTTTCGGTCTTTCCAGCATACACTTGTAACTGATACAAGTATCCTGAGTGGCTGTCAGCTCTAGCCCCAACCTTGAAGCCCCGTTTTATGGGCTTCATGGTCATGTATTGCTTTAGAGTAGATCGCCCCTTGAACTTTATCATACACTCGTCAATTGACTGAGAATGTGTGTTTTTGGCATTTGTCTGACATTTTACGTTGATGTAATCTAGCAGCGGCTTTATTTTATACAGTTTGTCGCAGTTATCATCGTTCCTGTTAGGCATATTGGCATTGTCATTGAGATGTAAATATTTCATAAGTTTTTGAAATCGCTTCAATGTCATTGTCTCAGCAATTTCAACAACATGCAGTAATGGGTCACTGGACCAATAATCTTCTATACAGGGTAATTTGTGAATGCCCATTTGAATTATCATGCCCAGTAAAGCTTTGATCTCTGTTGCTGACACCTGTTCACAATTTTGATCATTGCATTGTGATGCGTAGAGGTTAGTTTGGGTTACAATCATATCGATAGCTTCAGAGTCAAAAAACGTTTCAAAAAATACGAGTGGCCTTGTCCTATTGGCTATGTTCCGAACTGGTTGTAATTGAATAAAAAATCGGTTCTGTGACCAGCTTTTTTCCTTACGTTTTTTGCTGATTGATCATCTTTTCATGTTCTATAAGTGAAGGACCGTGTCGCGAACTTCTTGGTGGGGGTGGCTGCATAACATTTTCATTTGAGGGCTCTGGTTGAGGTGATGATGTTGGTCGAGGGCTTAGTTCTGGAAAGATCCTAGTGTTGATTGGGTCATAGTTATTTGACGACAAAATACCAGAAAATTCTTCTAACGCTCTTTCTACTTCATCAGGTTTCAGATTCACCTCACGACGATCCATATTCCTATAAAATACACAAAAGAAAATATAAATATGTAGGTACCTAATACAATACTAAACTGGTATTGGCCAACATGTTGCCGTCGTACCCTTACGGCATACAGACAGTGGCATATATATTGCCGACATGATTTTCGAAAATTACGTAAACAATATTTATTGTTTTCCAAAAATATTCAATGATTCGTCAAGAATAATAAACTCATAAAATAAATGTAAGTACTTACAAAAAGGTAGTCCAGATTTCGAGATAAATCGAGATGTAACTGAAAACCACAAAATACGTACTTTGTCACGAAAGTCTTTCTCTAACAAGTGACAAATGTCAATCAGGTCGCATGTCATATTTTTTATTTATTTAGTGCTTCGTTCTCTGTTGCAAAAATCAAACAACCATAATCTGTTCTTCTGTACTGTCGAAAATGTGAAAATGAGAACATGATGGCATATATATATATATATATATATATATATATATATATATATATATATAATATATATTGCCATTGTCATTCAAAGGGATAAAGTGAGGTTTTTCATGTCAATGGTAGCGTCAAGCAATTTTAAGAGATCACTACCTATTAACCCATCGTACCTTTCGTCTACACTATAGACATAAAACTTGTGTTTTTGTGAACTATGAAAGATACTCGGTAACTGCGTAGACAACTTCTCCGTGTTTACTGGCAGCGTGAGTACTAATAACCTCAAACGGTTTTAAGTGTACCGAATCACTATAATATTTTTTTGCTAGTTCTGGACTAATAAATGACCTAGTACTACCAGTGTCTATCATAAAGACAGCTTTTAGTTCAGGTATACGGATATGTGGTAAATTTAAAAGTTTCGTACAATTAATTTTCATTCTATTGGTCTCGTCAAGGCTAATATGTGAAAGTTTTCAATTTCATCCAAATCCGAATTATTATACTGATTTGATGCAATACATTGTTGTGAATTGCAAGGTTGATTTATTTCGCTATTGGTATAGTTTATTCTCCTTGAGTTAGCAGTTCGCATTGTTACATCGGTGTTCGAATTCGACGCCACAGGTGGCGATTGGTATTGCGTTAGACGCTGAGTATGCGCAGGGCATTGTCCGCGAAATACTGACTACGCTGTATCGGGCCCGGCGCCGGTGGTACTGGTGACCTAGTTATCGATTGCTGTTGATAATTATTGTGATGGTTATTGTTACGGTTGTTATTTTGCCTAAATTGGAATGAATTATTTGACGAGTTAAAAGAGCGGTTATTATTAACGTAGGGTGACAAATTGTTCTGATTATTAAATGTATTTGAACTAGATTGCTCCGTATGGGGGACATTTCTAGGTGAATAAGTGTGATTATTGTTAGGACTCGGCCTACAGTTTGTTCGATGAGACCGTGAATTTTTACTTTCATAAACGGACAGAAAGTTTTGTTCTTCTAAGACAATTTTCAGGGCGTCTTCTAGAGTAGTCACGTTCCGTAATCTCACAAGTCTAACTAAATATGCCGGTAAATTATAAAGAAACGCATTTAGTGAACTATGGTTATAAATAGATTGTTTCGCTAGACGTAAGTTCGGATCGTCAATCGTTTCGCTAACCTTAGAAAATAAGACACTTCTCAAATGTTGTATCCTGTGACAAAATTCCTGGTAATTTTCATTACGGTTTAATTTTAAGGATTCGAGTTCCAAATCCAAACATTCCTCGGATCTCGGGTCACCAAAATGTTGGCTTAATAATGTTTTTAATTCGTCCCTATTATTAATATGATCCCGTTCTCCAACTAGGTTCGCAGCTTCCCCTGATAACCTACTTGTAATAACATGGAATAAATATTCGTTTTATAACTGACTTCCTTGGAATAAATGGAGTATGTACTCGCATTTTTTTATAAAGAGTGGTAAAAGTCTAGTATCACCATCGAAATTAGGGATAATTTTAACCATTTCTATAGGAACTCTCACTAAATTTTCCATTTCTCTTTCTTTTTGTTACAGAATACACTACCAATAAAAAAAATACTCTTCGGTTATTATTAAGTGAATTTATAAGGAAATTAATTAAATAATTTAAATTCCTCAATTACTTAACTAATTAGAATAATTAACTAAGTGTGAATTTATCTAGTAATTAGGCGTAATTAATCCCACAAAAAAACCAGAATATAAACACACCAAAAAAAAATAAGAAGGGTAGGAAAATACTATTGGTGAAGAAGATCTACTCACAGTGCTGCAGTTTTCCCCATGCTCCTTCTGGAATATTGGTGCTCCGTCCTGAAGTTGGTCTGTTCCTTAATAAATTTGTTTTTTAAACAAAAAAGGAACACTTTTTTCCCGATTAACACGTTGAAACGTACGACCGATTTTTCTGCGAAAACTTTTATTCGCCACGAAATAATACTTGGTCTTACGGGTCACTTCAATAAAAAATATATTTTATTTATTTGGACAGGGTTACAGTAAGAAGTTTATTACTACAATATTCGATATTAACTGATTACAATTGTCTATTTATACTTAAATTATATGCAACAAAACTATTTACTAAGCTTATTTACTGCATACGCTTGACCCAGATGGGATTGCTGATGATGTGCGAACGAATGAGATTTGGCAGGGGTGCTCAGCCTGAACTCGCGCGTGCCAATGATCTTATAGGAAATATAGGTAGATAGGTTATACGCGCACCGCAACGCAAGTGGCACACCAAAACTATGCTAATCAGCAAACCTGAGCTCAGTCGTCGCGTCATTGACAACCACGTTGAATTATATTGTGTTTTGTTTTTGCACCGAAAATGCCGTCGTGTGTGATGAGATTCTTTCTGTACAAACTACACAAGCAAGGTTTCCAAAATTCAAGGAATCACATTTCACTCGTAAGTATTACGATTTCCTTAATTTATTTCGATTTTTTTTTCAAATTCAACGATTCCGTATTTTAAAATATATTGTCAGAAAAAACCGAGAGGGATAAAAATACCAAAATGAGTGAGTTTGAAAGAGAAGTGATATTGTTTTCTATCAAAGAATATAAAATAAACAGATAGGTCTCTTTCGATTATCGCCAATTCAAATAGTGTGTATATTTCTTGTTTTAGGGAAGGCTAAATTAACTGTGTGTGAGGTGGTACATATGTACGTATATGTTTCTAGATTTCCATTAAATGAGCTTAGGCGCATTCTATGGGTGGATATTGTGCGTAAGCCAAGAAAAGAAGAAAGCTGGCAGCCAAACAGTTCAAGAAAAATATGTTCAAACCATTTTAAGGATGAGGATAATTATACTTCTGGCAAAGGATTAACCTCATTGAAAAAGTCAACTCTTCCTGTTCCGGAGGTAATATTTTTTTCGTCCCTTTAACATTCCAAATCTCAAAGCGTTTTCCAATATCGGCTTATTTATTTTATGCATTCATCATTTAAAATATGTTACGGGTACTCAAAGCTTCGCAATCTACTCCAGCAAGGCCAAGCAGTCTTGATGATGAAAAGTTGTCTGATTTGGAGTCGATTTAGGACACCCCAAAGCAGCTCTTAAAAATTGTCTTAGGAAACTTACTCTTTAAAAACAAAAGTTTATAAATAAAAATATAAATTTAGAAAAACAAAAGACGATTGCAGAAAAAATCACCAACTTGAGTGCTATTTTACATCAAGCAAAAAAAAGGAATACTTATCTGAAGAACAATTTGCAGAACTAAATCTAAATAAGGAAACTCTTAGTTTATTGAATAGAATAGTTTGTAAAAAGCGTAGCAAAAATATTTTCGACAAAAATATCCAGCTGTACCGCGTAAATTCGCGCTAACTCTAAATTTTTATTCACCAGCTGCATACAAATTTGTGAGAAGAGTTTTTCATAGTGCTCTACCACACCCAAGAGTGTTAGGCAAGGTGGTGTGAAAGCAACTCAGTTTCACCCGGCATTGAAATGCCCAAGAATTTGACAGACTCAAAAAGAAAACTGAATTACCTGGCAAAAGAATGATTTGCGCTCTTGTAGTTGATGAAATGGCTCTACGACATCAATCTAAATGGACTGGAAGAAAAACGGAAGGCTTGGTAGACTGGTGGTGGCTTCAACAGCAAAGTAATTGCCACAGAAGCCTGTGTTTTTCTTTTAGTCGCATTGAATGAAAGCTGGAAGCTACCAGTGGGTTGTTTTTTTTTTTTTTTTTGTAAGAGGCGTAAGTAGTGAGACATGAGCACATTTAATTACTTCATGTCTGAGTAAAAGTTATCAATCTGGGTTAGACGTTGTTACAGTGTCCTTTGATGGCTGCCAACCTAACTTTTCAGTAGCGAAAATATTGGGTTGTGATTCAACGGATCCAAGTAATTTAAAACCTACGTTCTCAAGCATCCCAATTGTGATAAAGAAGTAGCTTTAATATTTGACCCTTGCCAAATGATTAAGCTGGTTCGAAACACTTTTGAATCGAAACGAATAATCTTTAACGAGCTTGATAAAGAAATAGAGTTTGTTAGTAAATTTAAATAATCTTCAAAAAAATAAAGGTTTAAATTTTGCTAACAAACTTTCAGACCGTCATTTAAATTTCAGGAAAGAAATAATGAAAGTTAAATTGGCGACACAACTACTCAATAAAGGTGTTGCCAAAGCATTAGAGCTGTGCGAGCAATTACTAGTGTCATCGCGATTTAAGGATACAGCTGCTACAGTGGAATTCGTTAAAATCTTTAATGATCTTTTTGACATATTTAATTCACAATCACGAGAAATGCTTGGTTATAAGAAGCCAATTTGTGCCCAATTTTTGCCCTCAAAATGCCACGGAAGTCATGAATTTTTCGGATAAATCAAAAGAGTACATACTATCACTTAAAATATATAACTAAACAAAGCGAGTCGTTAAACGTAGTACTGTGTTCACAATAACTAAAAAGAGGATAGTAGATTGCAAATGCAAATCAGGATTTCTAGGATTCCTCGTATGCATCGAATCCTTGAAACATCTTTATTCTTTGCTTATTGTAAAGG